ATCATAGTGAATCAACCAATGCATATGGAGGAAAATAGGATAGGATAGGATAGGATAGGATAGGATAGGATAGGATAGAATAGAATAACAGAGTTGAAAGGGGCCTTGGTGGTCTTTTAATCTAACCCCCTTAGGCAGGAAACTCTATACTATTTCAGACAAATGGTTATCCAATCTCTTCTTAAAAACTTCCCGTGTTGGAGACAAGTTGCTCCACTGATTGTTCTACCGGTAACTGTCAGGAAAGAAAAGAGCAATACAAATTCCATTGCAAAATGCCAAAGGCATCACTGCCAAATTTTCTGGAGCATACAATCCAAGCAAAGACTTCTGGAGATAAAAAAAATAAGCTCCATGTGCATTTGTGTGCACTTTTAAGGAAACAAATCATGAGGACTAGAATGCTAAGCATGCCGAACACTGCAGCAGGCAAGATTTCATGCTGCCTGTGCGAAGAAGAAGAATCTTTTTGCTATCTGCTTCTTCCTGTCCTTACCACACACCATCTCTTACCGTGCTTTGTACTTCCACAGCGATTCCGCGTTGCTGCAAACATTTTAGGACATCTGGATCCAGCCTCTCTACTTTGGCTCCTGTTCCCAGGACCACAATTTCTAGGACAACCAACAGGGGAAGGCAGGGAAGGATGGTGAGATGATGTTTCCTCCTTAAGGCCGAAATTTACAAAAACCCTCTTAAAACCCAGCCCAAGATTCACAGTTATTTTGTACCTATTTTGGGCTCCAGCATATAGAACAGAGCAAGACTTTCTGGAATAATATCTTTGTATGTGCCAACCTGGAATTTGAAACAAAATAATAAAAGACAAAACTCTTCCGATAGTGAATACACAGCGTAACAAAAAAGCAGTGTTTCTCAACCTTGACGGCCAGAATTCTTCAGCGCCGAGTTGAAGTCCACACATCTCAAGTGGCCAAGATTGAGAAACATTGCTTTATTTATTTTTTAAGAGTTTATTTATACATTTTATCTTTACATACATAAGTGCTTTGTGAACAATGTATTGTCTGAATCAATTTGCTTACATAACAGTACTTTTCCAATCCCTAATCTCTACCTCTATTATCCAACAAGAAACACTATTTTAGATGGGCTACATGATCTCTGAAGCTGAGCGGGAGTTTTATGCATTAAAATACATACAAGTTCCCATTAAAAACATTATTTTATGTGAATCACAAACTGGCATGTATGGATGCTTCTTATTAAATGATACTCATTCAGCAGCCTGTGTTGGGTTCACCGACAAAAGTGCGCTGAGAAAACCGTCAATTCTAAATCGCGCCGACGAATGAGCGCAGAAGCGCGCCAACAACAGCGCACCGACAGAAGTGTGCTCTAAACCTAACCCTAACCCTAAACCTCACCCTGAACCTAACCCTTACCTTAACTTAAATCGCGCTTCTGTCAGCGCACTGTTGTGGGCGCGTTGATGACATTGTGGTTTTCACGCCACGGTTTCATCGGCGCACTTTTGTCATGCGTGCATTTGTCGGGTCACGCCTGTGTTGGTATTAAATGAGTGGTAGTTTCATTTCATTTCATTTTCATTTTATTAAGATTTATAGGCCGCCCTTTTCCCTGAGGGGACTCAGGGCGGCTTACAATCACAGGGAAGGGGGTGCAATGTCAAAGACAAACAATATGTGACAAAAGAAAGAAAAAAATAAAAACACAACTTGCATTCAACAGTCAACAC